ACTTGAGAAACAAGAGATTTAGTTTTGTTCTAAAAAATCTATAATTTAGCAAATTGTTTTCCTATTTTTCTTTAAATTTTGGAGAAGTAGAAAATGAGGGTTTGGTTTTTTAAAAAGACATAATATTCAAAAAAATGCCTGAAACTTTATTTTAAAATAATAAGAAAGTTGTTTTATAACAAGTCATAAYTAGAAGAAAAAGAGGTCAGTCTACATGGTGCTATCATGTATCATTTGGATAAACTGAAATTTTTTCAGATTTCTTGATTCAATTTTTTCAGAAACAGTAAAATACATAAATTTAATTAATTAATTTTTTATTACACTTGGGATTTAAGGGGTAAAAAAATTGATATAATGGACTCAAATAATAAGAAATGGTTCTTTATCTTTTTATTTCAAGTTTAATAAATTTTAGAAATATTTTTGACATTTATAAATTATCATATTTTGTCTAATTTTTATAAAATTTTTGAAAACAGGAAAAAAACAACATTAACAAAAAAAATGAACAGAATTACAAAGAACTGGTTAAGTTACTGGTTAATCATAAAACTTCAAAAATAAATATTTTGTTGTAGTCACACACTTATAAAACATTTGTTTGTTTGCAAGTCAGTTATCTAAAGTGTCTTATCAACGAGAACAATTCCCAGCTTAGTACAATTAAACAGTTGAATGCTGTGTACATTTTCTGAATCAGAATTTATCAAGTATTCAAGACGTATGATGCAATGATAATGCAATTTTCACGATATAAAAGAATTTACCACAATTGAGTGAACTAAACAAATTTTTTAGACAAGTAGGTAAGTCTTGTGGTAAATTTCCAAACTCATTGCTTCTTTCCCTAATCAGAAATGTTTACTTTTGTGGGCCTTGTAATCACCCTTTTGGCCACGTTATTCGCCTACTTYCAATGGACGTACAACTACTGGAAAAGACGAAACCTCCAATACCTCGAACCCAAAATCCCCTTCGGAAACTCGGGTAATCCCTTCAAACGCAAGGAAAACTCCGGTTTTCGCTTCAAACGCTTCTACGACGAAATGAAATCAAAGGGGTGGAAACACGGGGGGTTGTACTCAATCCTCAACCCGATTTACGTGGTCACAGACTTGGACTACATCAAAAATATAATGACCAAAGACTTTCAATATTTCACAGATCGTGGAGTTTACTTCAACGAGAAGGATGATCCTCTTAGTGCCCATTTGTTTGCCATTGAGGGGCCCAAATGGCGCCATTTGAGGACTAAAATATCCCCGACTTTCACCTCCGGGAAGATGAAACAAATGTTTCAGACTTTGGTCGACTGTGTTCCTCAATTGTTGCAACAAATTGAGGAAAAAAGCCCAGTTGATATCAAAGAAGTTTTAGGGTGTTTCACCACTGATATAATCGGATCGTGTGCGTTTGGACTTGAATGTAAGACTTTTGAGGAGGAAAACTCCCCGTTTAGGGAGTTTGGGCGAAAATTCTTCCACGTGTCAAAACTAGATATTGCAAAATTTCTTTTCTCGGGGAATTTTCCCACTTTGGCACGACTTCTAGGTGTCACAATAACGTCAAAAGACGTTTCAAATTTCTTCATGAAAGTTGTCAAAGACACAGTAAAATACCGGGAAAAAAACCATTTGGTCCGTAAAGATTTTATGCAACTCCTCATCGACTTAAGAAATAGTGAAACAGAGGAAAAAGTCTTAACCATTGAAGAAATCGCGGCTCAATGCTTCGTTTTCTTCATCGCGGGTTTTGAAACATCTTCAACCACAATGACTTTTGCTCTCTATGAACTGGCAAAAAGTCCAGATTTGCAGGAAAAAGTCCGGAATGAAATTGGGACAGTTTTGGCCAAACATGGAAAAATCACTTATGACGCCATTCAAGACTTGAAGTTTATGGACCAAGTGATTGAGGAGACCTTGAGGATGTACCCCCCGGTCCCCCTCCTCACGCGAAAGTGTGTCAAGGATTACAAAATCCCAGAACAGGACGTAATCATCGAAAAGGGGAYTAGAGTCTTCATCCCAATCCTTGGCATTCACTACGACCCGGAGTTTTACCCAAATCCGGACCAATTCGACCCGGAGCGGTTCAATGAACGGTTGAAGAACACAAGGCATGGGTATGCCCATTTGCCTTTTGGCGAGGGACCCAGAATTTGCATCGGTGGGTGATTTAGTCAAACTTCCAATTTTTACTTTGCAATTGCAGGAATGCGGTTTGGGTTAATGCAAACCAAGGTTGGCCTCACTGCTTTATTGAAAAATTACCGATTTTCGGTCAGTGACCAGACCCAARCACCTTTGAAGATGAAAACCAGTTCGTTTATTTTGGCRGCGGAGGGTGATGTCTGGTTGAATGCCCAAAAAATTTGATCAATTTCTAATGTAGTTAAAAATAAACAATTTTACTCGTGTGTTGTTGGTGCTCTAACATTTATACAGTGTTGCCAGGTGTGGTGATTTTAATGTTCTAATATTTGGTGGTTTTTTGGAAATGAAAAAAACTGCTTTTTGAGAATTTTACATGATTATTTCGTTAAACTTTTTCAAAAGAGTCGAAAAACCACCAAATTGGTTAAAAATACATAGTTCTGTTTGTTTTTTTACAAAATTTTACTTGACAGAATCAAAAATGACAATATATTTTTGTCTTTTTCGAATAATTTTCAGCTAGAAACACAATTATTTCGCAAAATTTTCTTAAAAACAATTTAAAAATTCGACAAATTTGGCCAAAAACGGCTTAATTTTCTTCCTTTTCTAGTGTCTAAACACGTTTTTTAAATAAAAACAAACAAAATTTGAAAAATTACGTTGAAGCAGGCAAAAATTTACAAAATTAAAAAAAAAGATATTATTTTTAGCTTTTTTTTGTATTAATTACTTCGTTTTTAAACCAGAGACTCATTTATTTTGCAAAATCTTGTCCAAACACGCTTCAAAATCACAAAAACAATTGATATTAGTGTCATTTCCTTTGTGTTTTGAACAAAATAAGACAAAAACAAGCCGACAATGTTTTTCAGCACCTTTTTGTACTACAATCTAAGTTTTTATGTAATATTTTGCTAAAACGAACTGTAAAATCAATAAATTATTGCAAAGATTACATTATTTTTTTATTTTTTGAGAGATTTACCACGTTTTTCAGCTAGAAACGCAATTGTTTTGCAAAATTTTGTTAAAAACAAACTAAAAAACCACAGAATTAGGCCGAAAATGATATAATTTTTTCCTTTTTCGAAAGTTTAAGCAGATTTTCACACTGAAAACATTGTTTTTTTTGCAAAAGTTTGCTACAGCGTGTTAATAATCTTAAAATAATAATCTTTAAATTGTTATAAAAAAAGCTTTTATTATGATATTTTTATCTAAACTCTGAGACTTTAACTTGATTATTTTACCAAATTTTCTCGAAGAAAAAATAATCGAAAACCATCAAATTGGTAAAAAATAGTTCTATTTGTTTTTTACAAGATATTACTAAACAAAGTCAAAAATGACAATTTATTTTTGTTTTTTTGGAACGTTTTTTCAGCTAGAAATACAATTATTTTGAAATTTTGTCAAAAACAAGCCGCAAATTTAACAAAATAGCCCWAAAAACGACGTTTTTTCGTCTTTTTGAGAGATAAAAACACAAAAAGTTCGAAATATTGTATGGAAGCAGGCAAAAAAATTACAAAATTAATTCGAAATTGATAGTATTTTTTAGGTTGTTTGCCCGACTTAAAAACTCATTTATTTTGCAATGTCCAAACACGCCTAAAAGTCACAAAAATGATTGATATTTATGTTATGTTGTTTGTCTCACTTGATTTAACGGTTTTTAAGACAAAAATAAATATTTMTAATTGTTYCAAARATTTTGTATTTTATTGATTAGTAATTGTTTGTAGAAACAATTAATACGCAAGCAACTAGAGTTTCATTCAAGTCAGTCAACAGTCCAAAGGTTGTAACCAAGATTTAGCAAGATTTACACATAATTGTTTTATAATTTTTTTATTATTCGAATTTCAAATGTTCAAAGTTCGTAAACAAAAATAAAAAAATAAGTTTGTTTAGGTAATAAAAAAAAATTCTAAGAATGAAATAACAAATTAGGTACCTAACTAGGTTTTGCACTAACTGTATGGAAATCTGTCAAATTATGGATTTTGAATTATTTTTTTTTAATTCGGCAAATAAAGACTAAAACCGCTAAAAGCGACTCGAATCGGTGTTTCTGAATAAAAAATTGAGGAAAATGCGAATTTTAATACACAATAAATGAACTAATAATACACATCATGTAAATCTTCTAAAAATGTCAAATTTTGACAGTTTGGACATTTGACATTAAAGAAAATTAATTTCTTTAATTCTTCATATAATAATTTTTTATATTCACAATAAAATCGAAGCAGCCAATTTTTAAAACATTCATTTTTATTTTTTTTTATTTTTATTTTTTGCGTCGAAAAATCTAAGACGTGTTCTGATTGGTTGATTTTAAAAGACGTAATTGATTGGCTAAGGATCGAACAATGACACTCAACTTTAACGCATTAAATAGTTTTTTACTTTTTATTGGTCTAATAATCGAAAGTGCATAATTCATATTGGCTCTGGGGTTGGCTCCACCCATTGTGCAAAATTAGGTCCAATTAACGTAAGATAACTCACACTAAACGCTGATTTGTTATAAAAATTCGATTCCAAATTCAATAATTATTCACGATTTTTWRAAGGGGTGGAGTTYACGATTTTGGCCAATAAGAGATAAAAACCGGGTTTTGTTCTCACGATAGTGGTTGTTACGCAAATGGGAAATGATTATTATTGGCCCTTATATTTGGACCAATAAATTAACAAATATGTCTAACCAATCAAATTCAAGATTTTCCCAAAACCTCCCTGATTATCACTATCCATAAAAATTGTTTTAATTCAGTTCGATTTTGCTTTAAAAAACACGCAAAAATAATGAATTTAAATTAATTTTTCCAATTATCCACGAAAAATTAATGTTAGGTATACAAAGTGATTCTTTTAGGGCCTACATTAGAAACTTTTTAACTTCTAATGCAGATAGGAATTTGAAATCTTGTACACAACCCAAATCAACCAGTCTGAGTTCAACTAAATTATTTTCAAAATGGCTGAACTTCCGGAACTACGAGAAATTGGCGCCAACTTTGAAATTTTAAATGGTACCCACTTATTTTTATTGCATTTTTGAATTCTCCTCTTTAAACTAAGTAAAATGTACCTAGTTGTTAGTACTTATCTATCATAGTTTTTGACATATGTCAATTTTTTGGTTATAATTTTCACTTGCAAGGGTTCATTCAAAACATCACAGCTCTTGAACCTTTGTGATAAGTGAATATTTTTTGTTGCATTCGAAAACCAAAGGTTCGAAAAATTTTCTAGAATTTTCAAAATTGTCGACTGTCAAATTGCAAGGCTAGTATGATTTTTTGAAAATGATCATTAACAAACAGCCTTAACTCAGTTTTTTCAAATGAAATGACTCTATTTTCTCAACGGCAATCAAAAAAAAAAACTACATCAATTTGTAGAAGGACTTTTATCAACATGTCCTATACCTATCTCTTACAGTTTTTGAAATAATCACAAAAAACATGTTAATGTTTTTATTTTTATAGTTAATCACGTAGGCTTTGGAAAAATACAATAAGATATACCATAATTAATACAAATGTTCGATATGTTTACCATTTTCAAACAATCCAAAACTCGATGGTGAACTGATTTGAGTAGCTTCCATTAGTTTATTTGACATGTTGATAAAAGTCCTTCTACAATTCGATGTACCTTCGATTGCCGTTGAGAAAATGGGGTCATTTTATTTGAAAAAACTGTGTTATAGCTGTTTGTTAAATATCATTTTCAAAAAATCATATAAGCTTTGCAATTTGACAGTTGACAATTTTGAAAATTTTAGGAAACTCTTCGAACCTTTGGTTATCAAATGCAAGAAAAATTATTTACTTATTGCAAACGATTCAAGAGCTGTGATGTTTTTAATAAACCTCTGCAAATGAAAATTTTGAGCAAAAAATTGACATATGTCAAAAACTATGACAGATAAGTACTAATAACTAGGTACATTTTACTCAGTTTGAAGAGGAGAATTCAAAAATGCAATAAAAATAATTGGTTATCATTTAAAATTTCAAAGTTGGCGCCAATTTCTCGTAGTTCCGGAAGTTTAGCCATTTTGAAAATAATTTAGTTGAACTCAGACTGGTTGATTTGGGTTGTGTACAAAAGTTCAAATTTCTATCTGCATTAGAAGTTAAAAAGTTTCTAATATAGGTCCTAAAAGAATCACCTTGTATAATAAAGGACTATATTTTGTAAATTTTTTCTCAATCGATTCCAATAAAAAAATTGACTTTTAAAAATGATAAATTTAAATTTGTTTCCTTTATTGGCTTTAAAAAAATCATATTTTTGCCCCGTTTATTTTTTACATTGAAAAGTGTGTTCTCAGTTGGCAATAAAAATTACTGTTGCCAACAAATTGACAATATTTGGACAATTTGTACAAATAAACGCAGAAATGATGAATTTAAATTTAATTCTTTATTTGGCAATAAAAATAAATTGTTTTAGTGGTTAAAAATAAGGACTATGTTTGTAAAATTAAAATTGTTTCTCTCATTGGCTTCGAAAAAACTAATATCGCAATTTCACAAAATTTTAGTTTTTTATGTATTTTGTTAAATTGTCTCAAAACTGTACCTCAAAGGTATGCATGTAAAATCTTCCAGAAGTCAATTGGCGTCGAAAAAACCGCAAAATTCTTAATAGTTTAGAAGCTATAGTCGTATTTATTTAATAAAGTGCATTTTTTATGGTTTTTGATTTTGATTTTATTGTCAAGTTGTTTCTAAGTATTTTTTAATAAGAATAGAACGAATTTTTTAGAAGTATGTATCATAAAAACTAAGTTTAAAAAATAATCCAAAAAACGATTTAAAAAATACCCCAAATAGATAACATTTTTCTCATCTAGTATTTCTCAACTAATAATTTTTACTCATTATGATTTTAAATAAACCATATGTAAAAAACCTTGATGAGAACTTTTTTTGTTGAAACAAAACGTTAATTTTTCTAGCTGTACATTTTATTTTTATTATTTTCATTGCAACCACACAAACAATGGGTAAAATTAGTTATTAAGACAAATTTGATGGCAATCGTGAAATTARCAACTATCAAATATTTTAAATGCAGAATTTTTAAATGGTAATCATTCCAAAAAATTTGTATTTTATTAATTAGTAATTATTTGTGGAAACAATTTAAACGCAAACAATTAAACCTTCAAGTTATGTAAAGAAAATATGACTTAGTAGAGAGTCCAAAGGCTGTAAACAAGATTTGGCAAAATTTACACATAAATTGTTCTTTATTTTTCATTTCAATTTTAAAATTTTACTCTTTTAAATCATAGTAAACTGTAACTAATAAATTTTAATGATTCATAAAATCATAACGGTGTTATTGGAGTTGCAACCGCGGCTTCATCTCTTACATCAGGTCAAGACGATGACTTGTAAAAACCTAGACGTGTTATTATCCCCGTTTGGGAGTATAATAATGTTTCAAAGTCTGTGTTTCCTCTGAGATTAAAACCTAYTGCAAAAGTTRTATTGTGTTATTCCACCAGTGACAATAAAATCKCAATGTTTTACGTGATTAGTGTATTAATTGCTCTCCTAAGTGTTACTTTTGCGTATTATAAATGGGTTTACCAGTATTGGGAGCGCAAAAAATTACCATTTYTGGAACCCACCATCCCTTATGGCAACATCACAAGTCCCTTCAACCGCAAAGAGAACATTTCGGTAACATTTAAAAAAATCTACGATGAGATGAAGACAAGAGGGTGGAAACATGGGGGAATTTATACCATGGTCTCCCCGGCTTATTTCCTCGTCGACTTGGATTATGTCAAAAATGTAATGACGAAAGATTTTCAACATTTCGTAGACCGGGGCTTCTACCACAACGAAAAAGACGACCCAGTCAGTGCCCATTTGTTCGCAATTGGGGGCCCAAAATGGCGCTTTTTGCGCACGAAACTCACCCCAACTTTCACCTCCGGGAGAATGAAAATGATGTTCCAGACTTTGGCCGACTGTGAACTAAATCTCCAGGAAAAAATGCGAGACGAATTCGAGGAAAACCAACCAATTGATATCAAGGAAATTTTGGCTTGTTTCACCACTGATATCATCGGTTCTTGTGCTTTTGGRYTRGATTGCAAGACTTTCCAAGAGGAAAACTCGCCGTTTAGGGTCTACGGTCGCAAGGTTTTCACTCCAAATAAATTCCGGGTTGTTAAAAGCACTTTTGCTGCTAATTTCCCGGATTTGGCCCGATTTTTCAAAATCCGGGCTTTTCCCAAAGAYATCGGTGATTTTTTCCTMAAAGTGGTCAAGGACACGGTTAATTACCGCGAGAAGAATAATTTTACACGAAAAGATTTCATGCAATTGTTGATTGATTTGAAGAATAATAAGCTTGAGGGGGAGGAGGGTAAAATTGAGGGTCGAGGTTTGACAATTGAGGAAGTGGCAGCTCAAAGTTTTGTCTTCTTTTTGGCCGGTTTTGAGACGTCTTCGACTACGATGACTTTTGCTTTGTACGAAATGGCCAAACATCAAGATATTCAAGATAAARTAAGGGAAGAAATTTCTACAGTTTTGAAGAAACACGACGGTAAAATCACTTACGAAGCCATCCAAGAAATGAAATATATGGGTCAAGTCATTGATGGTAAAAAAACAAATAAAACTATTCAATTTATTATTAATTTAATTTTCAGAGACTTTACGAAAATACCCTCCAGTCCCATTTTTRACCCGGGAGTGTGTCAAGGATTATAAAATTCCCGATGAAGATGTTGTTATTAAAAAGGGCACAACTGTGATTATCCCAGTTCTTGGTATTCACTACGACAAGGATATTTATCCTGATCCTGAAAAATTCGATCCTGAAAGATTTACGGAAGAAAATAAGAGTGCAAGACACAATTATGCTCATATTCCATTCGGGGAAGGACCGAGAATTTGTATCGGGATGCGATTTGGGTTAATGCAGTCCAAAGTTGGTTTGACTTCACTCTTGAAAAAATACAAATTTACTGTTAATAAGAAAACTAAGGAACCGATCAAGTTTCAAATAAATCCGTTTATTTTGGCCGCTGAAGGCGAGGTTTGGCTGAGTGCTGAAAGAATTTAAATACAAAATTTCCACAATTTTGTTATCTTTTTTACAGCAATTATTTTCTAGTAACAAACTGAAAATGTAATAGATTTTTTTGACTTTTTTAAAATAAGATATTTTAAACTGTAAAAATGCATGCAACTTATGAATGTATTGAGTACAAATATTACACATTAAAATTTTGTAAAAAAAAAATGCTAAATAAATTAGTTCTTCAAAAACCTATTGTGTTTTCTTACACCTGGTATAAGTCCTGAAACAGAAAAATATTATTAGGAGTAAGTAAAGTAAGTAAAAATAACACTATAATTAGCAAGTAAWTGATCATTTAGTTTGAACTAAACAATCAGAACGCTTTGCAAGTAATGCAACGCTTWTAAACAAACATCACGCCCCAGTATCGCAATTTATGTTGAGATTTGATTTTTGAAAGTTTGTATTAACTTAATTAGTGCAGTTAGTAGTGCAAAATGWTGAATGCTCATGATCTACAATAATGTTAGTGTATTTCTTCAGAAATAGTTGAAGCATCGAAAGAWGTAAATGTCAATAATGTCATGGTAAAAGTAAAAATGTTTAGGCGCAATAATAGATTTTTACTCGATGGTTGAAAGAAAAAACTTTAATTTTTAGATTTAATCATAAAAGTGGGCACTTTTGTGACATTTGTGAATAAAATTTTACTTAATAGCAAACATMTTATATGCGTTTTTGAAAACCACTACGTTTTGCCAACTAAAAACCTTTTATCAGGACATATTTTTGTTTAATTTTTTAATTTTCATTTTTTAAAAAGCTAAAATTGCTGACAAAACATTGAAGAAAAAGTATAGAAGTATTTTTTTTAATAAGATTTGTGAGAAATTTGGGATTTAGATGACATGATTTACTATTTGAGCTACTTCCAACCCAAGTTTTCTAATTTTAACACAGGAATCATTCTAAATTAATGTATTCTATAATTTCTATTATATTTCTATATTTCTTAAAATCCAATTTTAGGCTAAAATTAAGTAATTTGTGCTATTTCTAATCAATTTGGCTTAATTTTAAGTTTGAAAACAACCATTTTAACAAAATAAATGCTTAAATAACAGTTTTCTGCCAAAATAAAGCATTTTGATCAATTTCCAATCCAATTTTGCTCAATTTTATTAGAGAAATTATTCAAAATCAATGTTTTTTTATAAAAATAATTCCTTCAATCCAAATTTCAGGCCAAAACAAAGCATTTTGTGCTATTTCCAATCGATTTGGCTCAATTTCAAGCAGAAAATCAACCTAAATCCAAGTATTTCATATATATAATAATAGCTTGAATAGGAGTTTTCTTCCAAAATAATATTAAATAGATAATTTCTAATTCAATTTTAGTCGATTTTAACACAAAAATCATTTTAAATCAAATTATTTTATGAAAATAATTGCTTCAATCACAATTTTAGGCTAAAACAAAGCATTTCGAGCTATTTTCAATCAATTTGGCTTAATTTCAAGCAAGAAATCAACCAGAATCAAAGTATTTCAACATAGTAATGGCTTGAATATGAGTTTTCTTCCAAAATAAAGCAATTTGAGCAATTTTCAATACAATTTTGCTCGATTTTAATACAGAATTTATTATAAATTAATGTATTTTACAAAAATAATTTCTTCAATCCAAATTTTTGATTAAAATATAGCAATTTGTGCTATTTCCAATCGATTTAGCTCAATTTAAAGCCTGAAAACAACCTAAATCAACGTATTTTAACAAAATAAATGCTTAAATAACAGTTTTCTGCCAAAATAAAACATTTTGAGCTATTTCCAATCCAATTTTGCTTAATTTTCTTACAGAAATTATTTAAAATCAACGTATTTTATAAAAATTTTATAAAAATAATCGCTTCAATACCAATTTTAGGCCAAAACGAAGCATTTTGTGCTATTTCCAATCGATTTGGCTCAATTTCAAGCTAATAATCAACCTGAATCGAAGTATTTTAACATAATAATGGCTTGAATAAGGGTTTTCTTTGAAAATAAAGCAATTTGAGCAATTTTTAATCCAATTTTGCTCAATTTTAATACAGAATTTATTCTAATTTAATGTATTTTATGAAAGTAATTTTTTCATTCTAAATTTTAGGCTGAAATATAACAATTTGTGCTATTTTTAATAGATGTGGCTTAATTTTAAGCCTGAAAGCTACCTAAATCAATGTATTTTAACAAAATAAATGCTTAAATAACAGTTTTTTGTCAAAATATAGCATTTTAAGCTATGTATTTACAATCCAATTATGCTCGATTTTAATACAGAATTCATTCTGAATTAATGTATTTTATAAAAGTAATTTCTTCAATCCAAGTTTTAGGCTGAAATACACTGAAATATAGCAATTTGTGCCTTTTCTAATCAATTTAGCTCAATTTTAAAYCTGAAAACAACCTAAATCAACGTATTTTAACAAAATAAATGCTCAAATAATAGTTTTCGGCCAAAATAAAGCAATTTGAGCTATTTCCARTCCAATTTTGCTCGATTTTAACASAAAAATCATTCTAAATCAAAGTATTTCATAAAAATAATTGCTTATAATTTCTTTTGGGCCAATTTATCCACTGAGTGACTTCATTGGACCAAAAATTACTTTAAAACTAGTTTAACAAAATAAATACACATTGTTTGCCTACGTCATAAACACGATGATAACGCAACTCTTCTCTGTTATAAATTAAAACTAACAGGATTTCCAGCCAGTGAGCTCGCAACATCAGAGATGATCATTACTAACTCGCTCTTTGGCGATTTCGTCGCTCTTTTATTAACTCTAGTGTTGATCATTATCACGTATTGCAAATGGAGTTTACAGTACTGGAAACGCAAGAATTTGCCCTATCTCGAGCCCCAAATCCCCTTCGGAAACGTGGGAGACGCAATTAAAGGTAAAGAAAATTTCGGAATCACGATTAAGAAAGTCTACGAGGAAATGAAACGGAAGGGATGGAGACATGGGGGCCTTTACGTCTTCACCGAACCCAACTACATGGTCCTTGACCTTGAATATGTGAAGAATATAATGACCAAAGACTTCCAATATTTCGTGGATCGCAGCACTTATTACAACGAAAAGGAGGATCCCTTAAATGCCCATTTGGTGAACTTAGGGGGGACCAAATGGCGAAATTTGCGAACCAAACTAACCCCGACTTTCACTTCAGGAAAAATGAAAATGATGTTTCAGACTTTGGCCGATTGCCAAGCCGGTCTCCTGAAACGAATGGAGAAAGAGAGACTGACTGAAAAACCCATCGACATCAAGGAAGTTCTAGCGTGTTTCACCACTGAAATCATCGGCTCTTGTGCTTTCGGCCTGAATTGCAAAGCTTTCGAAGATGAAAACTCACCTTTCAGGGTTTACGGACGTAAAGTTTTCGCCACTTCACGACTGCGAAGACTGAAACGCACTATTGCGACGATTTTCCCCACTTTGGGGTACCTTTTCAACATTTCGATAACCCCAAAAGACATAACTAATTTTTACATGAACGTGGTGAAAGACACAGTTGAGTATCGGGAAAAGAATAACTACACTAGAAACGATTTTATGCAATTGTTAATTGATTTGAAAAATAATAAACTCGAGGAAGTTTCAAGTGGGAGTTTCACGTTGAAGGAAGTAGCGGCCCAAAGTTTTGTCTTTTTTTTGGCCGGATTTGAAACTTCCTCAACTTTAATGAGTTTTGCGTTGTACGAATTGGCCAAACATCAGGATATTCAGGATAAAGTCAGACAGGAAGTTGATGAAGTTTTGAAAAAACACAACGGAAACGTTACTTACGACTCAATCAACGACATGAAGTTTCTGAGCCAAGTAATTGACGGTTAGTAATTAATTAAGTAATTTAGCAACTAATTAATAATTATTTTAGAAACATTGAGGTTGCATCCACCGGCATCCTTAGTCAACCGGAAATGCGTCAAGGATTACAAAATCCCGGACTGTGACCTTGTAATCGAAAAAGGCACAACTGTCCTAATCCCAATTATGGGTATCCACTACGATAGGGATTATTACCCTCATCCTGAGAAATTCGATCCTGAAAGGTTTAGTGAAGAAAATAAGGCTTCAAGGAACAGTTATGCCCATATTCCGTTTGGGGAAGGTCCCAGAATTTGTATAGGTTGAAGACTAAACAAAAATTATGAAAAGTGTTGTAATTTTGGTTTTCAGGAATGCGATTTGGTTTAATGCAATCCAAAGTCGGTTTAAGTTGTTTACTGAAACATTACAGGTTTACGGTTAATAAGAGGACAATAGAACCGTTGAAAATGCAACCAAGTACCCTTATATTGAGTGCAGAAGGCGAGATTTGGCTAAATGCTGAAAAATTGTAACATTTCAGACGTAATTTTAATTTTGAAACCCACCAACATAAAGCATCAAATTCAAGAAAAATTTATCTAAACTCGCTTAATAAAATTTTCACAGAACTTATTATTTTTTATTCATACATTTAGTACAGATTTAGGTAATTTAATAAACTGGATTAACAATTTCGAAAAGCAACCCACAAGGTAGAGAAGAGATTTTTATAGCCGAGCTTGGGAAAAATTGATTACTAACTTCGAAATGTCAACTAAGCAACTTCTACTTTTACATAAATTTTGAGAATTTTACCGAAAACTTCTCAAAAACTGAAAATTTCATATATTTGGTACACACACTATATTATTTATATTTTATTTATACCTAAAAGCTACCCAATAAATGTTTCTTTTACTTTTGAGTCGTGGAATTTATTTTTAATAAAAATGTTTTTCGGGTCTGATGTTAAATTTTCAGAAATTGAAAAATTTGTTAATTTATTTTTTATTTATCAAATTACAGAGCAAATGGTCGAAAAAAAAACAAAAATTTTGACCATCGTACATTTTGTAGGATTTTTTTTGTAGAATTTCGTTTTGTTGTTGATTTTCGCTAATTTCTATTACATTGTGTAATTTTTTTTTTAATAGAAAAATCAAATCATAATAGTAGATTACATGCGAGGTGGAAAATATGTCGTTACCCTGAGGGCTCAGATATTCAGTCGAGATTGGATAGAGCCCAAGAGGTAATAACATTTTCTTGAGATTTGTAGATATACTATTTTACTTGCAATTACATTTATTTAAATAATAAATTTTTCTTTCTGTCAAAATTGATAACTTTGGTAATACTTATAAATTACCTTCCGACTAAGTGATGTAGTGTCAAATTTTCCGACCTTCTGTTAACCTGAGTTAACATTTTTTATCAAATTTTTATTCTTACAAAACTCTATTTTTTTATTATTGCTATTATGGAATTTCTAAGAATGCTAGATTTATGGTATCTTTATTTCTTTATTTTTTTTTTTTAATAATTACAATCAATTTCTTGGGTTTTCTTCACTCAAGTCATGCAAATAGTATACTATACACCACTCGAGAGAATTGGTATTATTTCTTTGGTGTTTTATAGTCCTCACTAATAATCGTGCATTTCTCTCTCTTTTGTATGTATAATATACTATTATGGCTTTGTTAGACTGGCTTTGAAGTTTTTTAATACACTGGGTGTGCCAAAAAATGTTTTTACATTATTAAAACATCTGTTATAGTTAATACAAACATGAATCCCATCAAAAATCATAAAATTAAAATAATTTTTTTTAAATATTTAACATTTTAGAACTTTAATTTTGTTTAATAGCAATTTGCGGTACAAGCTATCAGATAACTTTTCAAAAATTATAAAACTGGTCATAAAGTTTCTAATTAAAACAGTTTTCATAGAAACCTCCTTGATTTTGATTTTTGACAGAGAAAGTGTTTTTTTTTAAGAATACATTAAGAACATTTTTTTATTACAGTAAAAAGTTGTAGAAAAACACAAAAGTTTTGACAATAATAATAAAAAAATCCTATTATTAAATAATCTCATCTAATGTTATGCGAGGCAATAAAATCTTCTCTTCCGTGTTTTATATAATATTTTTTTCACTACTAGCACATTTATTAAGAAGAAATACAACGGTAAAAAACATAACCCTACAAAAATATGCCATTTATTAACAGGCCAAACTACACTATAAAAACATCAATTTGCGTTATTTTTGTACTCAAGTGTACGTATTAGTTTTTTCTTATCATAAATGAGGTTATGACATTTTTGTACTTCTGCGACTATTAAAAAAAATTCTTACTTTATATGAAATATTTTTTAAAATAACAAAGAAACTGAAAAAAAAGAAAAAAGTGTTCAAATTTCTCTCACTACCGATAGTATTTTAACAAGAAAGAAACCCATTTGTTGTTTTGACAGTTTTGACATAGACAGAAGGATTAGAGTTGGGGTTATTCTGACGTTTTTAATTAGGAAATTTAAGTTTTTTTATTTGATTTTGCATTAATTTTATCTCAAAATATTGTGATGGTAATAGTTTTCAATAATAATATTATAGAAATAATTGTATCAATGTAATACCCTCCAACATAGGCATTTACTCCCCTCTAATACATTGTAGTCTTTGTTTCATAATGAAAATCATTATTGACTACTAGGAAAGAAAAACAATTTTAAGATCGACAAACTAAATAATGGTATTTCGACCTAAGGAACCACCTTCCAAAATTTTTCAACGTTTGCTGTAGATTGTATATTTATTTGTTAAACATCTTAACTGTTTAAGTATAATTATCATCAGAAATTTGGAAATGACAATACATTTTTTTTAAGCTTATGAAATTGAGAAATAGATCCGGTAATACGTAAGGAGTTTTTTAATTCTATTTAAACATGAAATTGCAGAAAAAGTGAGAGCAAGATGTGTCATTTGAGTGACTAATTCAATTCAAGAGACAATGCCCCTCATCATGAATTACTCTCTCATTTGTGCAAATATTTAATAATTTTTATCTTTCATGTAAACAGCATGATACAGCAAATGAAAGAACAATAAAAGCAATGTTTTGTACATCGTATTTCACTTATTATTAAACTTGACTAGTTGACGTATCAAAATGTTATTTTTTGATTCTTTGACTAAAGACATAGTTGGTGTTGTGGTAACCCTTGTGGTTGTTGTAATCGCTTATTACAAGTGGTCGTACCAATACTGGAAACGAAAAAATGTGCCATTTCTCGAACCAAGCTTCCCTTTTGGTAACACAACAAATCCTTTAACCCGCACAGAAACCCTTGGTGTCACTATACAAAAAGTCTACCAAGAAATGAAAAATCGTAACTGGAAACATGGGGGGATTTACTTGACTTCAATTCCAGCATATTGTGCCATTGACTTGGAATACGTGAAAAATATAATGACCAAAGACTTCCAATATTTCGTCGACCGTGGATCTTACTACAACGAGAAGGACGATCCACTTAGTGCCCATTTGTTCGCAATTGGGGGCTCAAAATGGCGAAATTTGCGAACTAAACTAACCCCAACTTTCACCTCCGGAAAGATGAGACAAATGTTTCAGACTTTAGTCGACTGTGAATCCAGTCTATTGAAAAAAATCGAACTCGAATATTCAAAAAAGAGTCCAATTGATATTAAAGAGGTTTTGGGGTGTTTCACGACTGATATAATCGGGTCTTGTGCTTTTGGTCTCGAATGCAAGACTTTTGAACAAGAAAACTCACCATTTCGGGTCTATGGTAAAAAACTATTTCAAGGATCAACCTCCCGGAACTTGAAACGAACACTTCTTACACAAAGTTTCCCGGATTTGGCCCGGAAACTGGGAGTTTTGGCCTTGCCTGAAGACGTATCTAATTTCTTTATGAAAGTGGTGAACGACTCGGTTAGTTATAGGGAGAAGAATAGTTTCACCAGAAACGACTTTTTGCAACTTTTGATTAATTTGAAGAATAGTAAAATTGCGGAAGAAGAGGGTTATCAGCATGATGGCAAAACGTTGACTCTTGAAGAAATTGCAGCTCAATGTTTTGTGTTTTTCTTAGCCGGTTTTGAAACGTCTTCGACTACGATGACTTTTGCTTTGTACGAAATGGCCAAAAACCAAGAAATTCAAAATAAAGTAAGAGAAGAAATTAGTACAGTTTTGAAGAAACACGATGGGAAAATCACGTATGAGTCCATCCAAGACATGAAATACATGAATCAAGTGATTGATGGTAAAATTTGTTAAAAAATTGCATTTTCTTCATTTCTTCTTTCAGAAACTTTGAGGAAATATCCGCCAGTTCCCTTCGTGACCAGGAAATGTATCGCTGATTATAAAATTCCCGACGAGGACATTGTCATTGATAAGGGAACAACTGTAATGATCCCAATTTTGGGGATCCACTACGACAAGGATTATTACCCAAACCCTGAAAAATTTGATCCTGAAAGGTTCACTGAAGAGAACAAAAACGCAAGACATCACTATGCCCATATTCCGTTTGGTGAAGGCCCACGAATCTGTATTGGTAAGTTATTCATTGTTACCAACTTAATTTCAAAATCATTGTAATTGTAGGCATGAGATTTGGACTAATGCAAAGCAAAGTTGGGTTAACTTCACTGTTGAAAAATTACAAGTTTACGGTTAGTAAGAAGACTAAAGAACCTTTGAAAATGCAAGTCCAGTCGTTTATTTTGGCCGCCGAAGGTGAAGTATGGTTGGATGCACATAAGTTGTAAAAAAAAATGTAAAAAAAAATAAAAGTTATTTAAAATGAGTGACATTATTAAGTTTTTCACATTTCTAAAAATAAAAAAATAAAAATCAAAGCATAAAAAAATATCTAGACTTAAATCAAGTACAGGATGAGTGAAATGAGATGACGTGTTTTGACTTTTAAATTACACAACCTATATCAAATGCGTTAACTACTCAACTCTAATCGAAAAAATAACTATAAAGTTGGAATTTTTATGTTTCTATTTTGTTTTCCTATTTTCCAGATTAATTCAGAATTAAGCTTTTAGGTGAGAAACTCTTGAGAAAAGATTTTTTATTATCTTAAATACTTTAAAACAGCAGAACATTCTACATAAACTTTTTATTTACTTATCTAAAAATTTAGAAAACAAAAAAAATTA